CTTCAACAGGCGGGATTTACATTCCTCCACCACTGCAAGACGGAGAAGAAAGGAAAAGTGAAATATCCAGACAGTAAACTTACATACAATTGAACTCTTGCACGTTTCGTACACCTAAATTAAGGCAAAAAGTGAAGACTGTGCATTCTTTCAAAGTCTAGATCAAGATTTATTACGGTAACCATATCTAGAGCTCCATATCATATCAGCCAGTGAGGAACAATGTTCAAGCCCCATAATCTAGTCAGGCTGTTAAGTTGGCTAATCATATTACCGACAAAAGTGGAGCTTAAGCTTTCATGCATTTCTCTATAGACCATTTTGCAAGATGTAAACAACACTGGTCCAGAAGCACTTCCTGTTTCAGTTTTTTAACACTACATAAAAGCTGGGAGAAAATACAACCAACAGAACATTTAAAACTGAATCAAAAAGTTAAACAAACATCTTTAAGATGTTTTCTTTACATGTGAAATAAAGAAAACAGTTACAAACTGAAACAGGAAGTATTTCAGGACCAGTGTTGTTTACATCTTGCAAAATGGTCTATATTTACATTGTCACGGCTCACAACTTTACAGCATTTCAGTCCTATGTCATTCTTACCATGGTATGGTGAAACTCCTTTATTGACAAAAGTAAGAAACTCTTTGGCAGCGGCCTGGACAGCTTCTTTGGAGCTTTTCATGACGAAAGACTGTGAAAATAATTGAGGAAACAGTAAAAATAAGCACAAGCAGTCAGTCATATGCAGAGACACTTTTAAATCAGACACTACATTAGTGACAGCGTGAAACGATCTGTATTCTTGTTTTGAAGATTTTCATTATCATTGTTTTGGAGATTTTCATATCTTTAGTAAGCTATGCACATGGATACAACCCTTGAAGTTACCCGTCAACCGTTCTTACCTGCATATATGATAAGTGGACTTTCACATTCAGTTCAGGGCATGAACGCAGGAAGCAATGGGGATTTGCTGTGGTCTGGTTGGTAGCAGAAGACGTTTTGCGCCCTCTAGTGGTTGGAGGTACAGCAGAATTGCTGTTGTTGTTGTTATTGTTGTTTACAGTCTATTGTGTTTACAGGGAAATATTTGTACGGAATGCCTCTTCTTTGGGGCAAATGTTTTTTTGTTTGTTTTTTTTTTTTTCCAGCCTAACAGTTTTGACATTATATGAACATAACATAGGATTTAAGATATGGACAGAATTTAACGTGACTTGTCGTGCATCTTCAGAATGTCTTATTGTCTATCTGTATCAAGTTCTGTTAAGTTTGGCCCTTCAGCCGCCATCCACCATTGCATTCAGCCGACATTCTTCAAACATTAACTGACATCAGTCAGGCAATGCCCCAAAATTGAATTTGCTTCATTGAGATGATGCATGAATTCCATGCAATATAGGAGGCTAGAAAACATAGATTTTTCAGGAAATTCAAAATGGATATTTTGCAGGATTTGACTTGAATGATTCAGAGGAATTTGGTTTCTGGCCCTTCTCGTTTCAGGGTTCAGAACTAAAATGTATATGGTCTTACTATAGCGCCACCTAGTGTCAGACAAATGTGTGTCTTTTTCAGAATCATTGTATGATTTGGTTTTTGAGAAATTAAATAGCTTATTGTCCTGGTCAATATAATATAATGGCTAATATAATGGCTAATATAATGGCTAATATAATGGCTAATATAATGGCTAATATAATATATATAATATAATATAATATAATATAATATAATATAATATAATATAATATAATATAATATAATATAATATAATATAATATAATATAATATAATATAATATAATATAATATAAAGTCATGGGAAAGTAAGGAAATCAAGGAGACGTGTTCACTCAATACATATCAAAATGATTTGAATGCCTATGTGAGTACATCAAAAGATACATTTAAATACACTTGTCTAGTTTTGTACTGTTGCCCGGTTGCAATACAATATTTAGAAACACGATCTTCCCCGCTTCCCATCACAAGAGCAGCCCTGAAGCATGAAGTTAAGCTGGTATTCACAAAACTTCATTACAACATACAGCATTTTTCACAGTTGTACAAATCGTCATGTTGCTTGGAGTTATCCTGTAACATTTATTTGAAAACTTCTAGGCCTATACATTTTCAGCTGTGTGTGGGTGTTTTTCCTATCCCGTTCTAAGAAACAAATCAAATATTTTATCTCATCCAGGAATTGCAAGTCTATCTGAGTGATATTTGGCAGCAACATCCCTGAACTTTTAGGGTGTGATGTTTTCGAGCACAGCATATTTCTATTCAGTCACAAAACAAAAATGAAATGTCACAGCTTCGGACCGTGAATAATACCATGGCAACATCTGATAGTGAAAGGTCACACTCTAATTAAAGCAGTTTAATGGAAAACAGGAACTTGTCCTGTTGCCAAGGAAGGATTTAAAGACTCTACTCCGAGTTTGTCATAATTTGATCTGTTCTGGACAGCAATTATTAATATTTAAATGTATTTATTTGTATTTGTTTTGCATTTATTGTTTTGTTGTATTCAGAATTACACATTAAATTGAGAAAATGTAAACAATAGACCAAATTATTTGATTAGGTTGATTAATTGGTTTACATTTGCAGTTTTCATTGAAAAAAAAAATAAATTGGTCACCCACTAGTGAATATGTGTAACATAAGTATTTTTGGACATACACTGACACCTATCGTCGTGAATGTAACATGACCCAATAAATTCCAAATGTTTCAGGTGCAATTATGCTCTATTCATATTTTGTGTGTGTCAAACTTTTTGAATGCAGCTTTAAATATAATAACATATATCGTCATCATTTTACTTCATTATACTTGTGCACCTTATAAAGAGATAGAACAGGGGAATAAACATGAGGACAGTGGAAGAGTACGAAAAGATGTTTATATTCTCTGTCACCTGTGGTCTCTCTCTCCTGCCAGTTGAAGCCTTCCAGAAGCTTTTGTAATGATAGAATTCCAGTCCTCTTACACTCTCTATAAATAGGTTTGACAAAAACATTGAAAGCCACCAGAGGCTTGTAACAATTTATATGCCTTATTTGATCCCTCGGCCCAAAATATCTGAAATTGCACAATTTAAAATATATGAGATTGTATATAAGGAATTGTCTGTCATTACATGGTTATTTCATTATTAATTCTGCTTGATGCAGGTCTAAAACAGGGGTCTTTAGTGTCCACAACACTTAGGGGGACTTTTATTTTGTGAAATTATGAAAATGTGAGGGGAAAAATACAACACGTGAGCTTAGAATTATAAGGTTCTATCTCCGTTTAGGGTAGTTCTGAAATATTGAGCATCAAAGTTTTTACATCCCAGCTGGCAAAACTGTTATTATAATCTTCTATTATAGCTTTATCTATTAATCTTTTTTTTTTTTTTTTTTTTTACAAAATAACACCACACAGGCATTAAACACCAATGGATCAGATTATGTCAAAAACTCAATTTTGACCAAAAGCGGAGATAGAACCTTATAATTCTAAGCTCACGAAGTTAGTAGACGTTAACACTAAGTAGACGTTTAGGCTAAGTAAAACTAAAATTACTGTGATTATTATACTAATGCTTATTTGAATGGCTTTGCAATGTAGGCTATGAATAATTTAAATGCATTGATACGATACTGTGAATATGAGAAAGACTTTAAATGCAACTCTCAATTTGATACAGTATAGGGAATCCCTGCACTCACTCTCATTCTCTAAGGAGATTGCATGGTATTGAGATTACATGGCATTGACAAAGACGAAATAGCCTACCCTTGGTATTAATAATGGCCACTTTAAATTCACCCAACATGTCCAACATGCTATTCTTCAGTAGTGACATGGCAAATGACATTATCCAATAATGACACAATGCATTTACCAATGCAGGAGGACAGGGTCATCTCTTCTTCCATTTCCAGAGAAGCTTCACAGTCGTACATCCACTGCTCTCCAGTTCATTCCTTTCCTTTTTAAGGCAGCTTAGATAAACCTTCTGCTCGATCTGTGCTCATCTGTTTACCATTGCTGCACCCAACAATCTTATAATGTGACATTTTCTCAAGATGTTATCAGGGCATTTGCAAAGGGCAGAGCAATACAGTGACATCATTGTGGCAATTTATGGAATCCCAATGTAAACGCTCTTTAATTTTTTTTTTTCCAATCAATAAATGGTACACATTTGAGGAATGATTTTATTCTTAACATCGCCCTTTGCTTTTGAGCTTAAAGGAACAGTTCTCTCATTCCAAGCCTACATGTATTGGCTACTTTTTGGAAAATAAAATAAGTGTTGTTTCATTGCTATTATAGTTTTATTAATATTTTGACATTTTTATTTTAAACATATTTTTCATTTTATTTTTAGTTCAAGTTTTGGTTTTTTTGTTATGTGTTTTGTCATTTTTATTAGTTTTTTATTTTTACTTTAATAGTTTTAAAATAGATTTTTGATTTTGATTTCAGTTTTAGTTTGGAAATCGAAAATGATAATGCTGTCAGCGCAACTAACTAAAATTAAATTCATTGTTTTGTTTTTTTAGTTAAAGTTTATTCTATTTCAAGGAATGGAATTTTTTATGGTTTGGCACATACAATGAAAGTTAATGGGGTCCAAAACAACAAGTATTTGACATAAGTCATACAGGTTTAAAACTACCAGAAGGGGGTGAGTAAATAATGAAACCATTTTAATTTTGGTTGCTCTATCTCTTTAGTTGAATGTGCTTGTCATTTAGTCATTTCTGAAGATTGCAGGTTTGGACCACAAGTCCACAACTGTGATGAGGGGCGTAGTTGGTTCTCTAACTTCATACTCAATATTCTTGTTTCAAGAGTTGGGACAGCTGGACAGTAAGTGAAAGAGGTATAGTGATGATTAAGGGGTAGGATGGGAGTGTGAGAGTGGGGCTGAAGGAGTTTGGGGTAGTTGGGGAGGGAGGGAGGGGGCTGAAGCCTACAAATAGCCACATATGATCATATCATGCGCTCATTCTGTCTCTGTCCTCTCCGGAGGCCTTTTGTATTCATCTTGTCTGTCCTTCTTGTGCTCCAACATGAGCCACTCTTATGCCTCCTCCTCAGCCTCTTCATACCGTCGCATGTTCGGCGGTCCCGGCTACCTGACGCCACCAATGTCCCGCTCTATGTTTGGCCGAGCCTCCACCGGGGGGTCCGGCAACTCTAGGGTCAGCTCCAGAGTCTACGAGCTCTCCAAGTCCTCCACTTCTTCTCCTGGATTCTCCAATTATCGAGCCTCCTCCTACAGTATGCCCAACTTATCTGCGGGCTATAACCGCTCCTATGGCGGGATGGGCGAGACGCTGGACTTCAGCCTGGCAGACGCGCTCAACCAGGAGTTTCTCCACACACGCACTAATGAGAAGGCTGAGCTTCAGCACCTGAACGACCGATTTGCCAGCTACATCGAGAAGGTTCGCATGCTGGAGCAGCAGAATCAGGTGCTGGTGGTTGAGGTGGAGCGTTTGAGGGGGAGGGAGCCCACGCGCATCGCCGACCTGTACGAGGATGAGTTGAGGGAGCTGAGGAGAGAGATCGAAGTGGTGACCAATCACAGATCACGCGTGGAGGTGGAGCGGGACAACTTGGCAGATGACCTGCAGAAACTGAAAATCAGGTAATATGCATGAATACTCCACTGGAAAACAAGCCTAAGTTGGTTTAACAGTCTGCCAGTCTTCAGGCTGGTTTTAGATGGGATATTTCAGCTCAGGCTGTGAGGAACCAGTTGCTCCTGTGAATGTGCGTTGGAGATTCATATTTTGTCACTTCACTTTATTAAATTGAGTTTAAATCACTGGAGTCACATGGATCATGTCTGTCTTTTACTACCTTTGGGTTTGAAAGTGGTAGTTGAGTATACTGTCAATTGAGGGACAGAAAGCTCTTAGATTTAATTAAAAAGATATTAATTTGTGTTTCGAAGATGAACGAAAGTCTTACGGGGTTGGGACGACATGAGGGTGAGCAATTAATGAATGCATCTTCATTTTTTTGGGTGAACTAACCACAGATGACAATACAGTAACCATCATTTTAGTGTTGGCCAGAGTCCAACAAGACCAGCTAAAGACCATCTTAGCCAGGCTGGGAGACCATCTTAAACCATCTGAGACCAGTAAACCAGCTTGGCCTGGTTTACGCATTTAAAAATGGAATAAAAAAAAGATGTTTCTGTCGAAAGGATACAGTTGAAAAACGTGCTCTTTTGTTAAAAAAAAAACTATTATGCACATTTTATTCATGTATTCTTTGTGGTAGTAAAGATATCAATCCACACTTCATAGAAACACAGTGCTTTACATAACAATCTAGAGTCTTTCAGAGCCAACAGAGAAACAAACATCTTATAAACACTCATAAGACAATACACTCTCATAGCAATTGATGATATGTTTAGGGGTGGACCTTCTTTCTTAGTTAAAAAAAATAATCGTACATTGTACAAATCAGTTCATACGAAATTGGTATGAGATCATGTTGAAGGTAACATGATCTGAGAGGAATACAAACATCATTCCCCCATAACACAACATAAAGACTAAATCAGAGCAAAATAACATAAGATCTTGCACTATTTTACAACAGGAGGAAAGAAAATCAAAATTGGTTTATCAATTGAGAATCTTAGTTTATATCTAAGCCAATTTATTATTGAGGTTGCAAAGCTTTATATTAAAGTGCACTTCTTTATCTCATGGAATATCTCTATAATAAGCTTAGAATGGGAGAAAGGACTTTTTTTCCAGAATATGTAACTGTTGGAGGGGTTATTATGACAGTCTTCTCAAAACACAGGCAGAATATTTATATAATGGGTTTGATAAATCAGGCTGAGAGACTATGTGTTCTCTATTTAATGCTAAAAAGAGTTTCAAATTGCCTCTCTGCAGTGACCAAGCTCAGAAATCATTTAAACATGACTTTATCCGGTCTACCATTTAATTATGAGCTAAATAAAATGCTGTATCAGGTTTTTAAAGGCTTAAAGAAACTGCCTTTATGAAGGAAGCTATTGTCCTCTCAAACATGTTGTTTACAATAGCCTAGCTTTAATTCCTATTCAGGAGTTAGTCAGCTTAAAAGTGCTGGCCACACTCCACCTTCCAGCGCGAAGAGCATGTGTGTGAGGTAGTTGTGCACCTTCGGTCTATAAAAGGAAAGGAAAGAGGATGGTTGTAATAAATATGACATGCACAACACCCTTTTCTTCTTGGCAGGCTTCAGGAGGAGATTGCACTGAGGGAGGAGGCCGAGAACACTCTGTCAGCTTTCAGAGCAGTGAGTCCCCTAATGGTTTTATTAATGAACATTAAAATGTGGCATAGATTTATTTTGGTATCACGTCAACTCTCAGGATGTGGATGCTGCCACTTTGGCCCGCCTGGATCTGGAAAGACGTATAGAGACTCTCCAGGAAGAGATCGCCTTCCTCAAGAAGATCCACGAGGAGGTCAGCGCATTTGAAGACTTTTCATTTAGTTAGTCTTGTGCCATTTTAAATTAGTGGTGCACACACACAAACTAACTAATAATATTGTAGCTTTTTCAGTAGCAAACCTTTTTACAACAAGTGATAAAACGTTGTTCGTCACACAAACAGTAAGTCAGCTAAAATGTAATATTTTGTGTCCTCTGTCTCATACAAACTATATCAATCAGTATGTTCATAAAAAAAAAACAATGCATTCACTTATTTATGTAGTATTGGAAAGTAAGAAGACTCACTTGTTTAATACAAACTGATATTTATATATATTTTTTGGTTCAAAACTCAACTCATGTTTGTGAATCAGTGTGTCAGACACCTCATGCATATATGAATCTCTTCAAAAATGATTTACTGATTCATTTGAGTCTCTTTATTTAGGCCCTTGTTGGAATTTACAACTTTTTTTGCGGTGCAATATTTGGTTAAATTCCGCTGTTTGTCACTATAGTTTAGACTCTAATATTGAATATTGTTACACTATTCAAAACTTTGGGGTCTGAACAATTTTAAAGGGGTGATGAACTGAGAAATCAAATTTTCCTTGAGCTTTTGAGAGGTCATCATATTTTAAGAATATCTTGTAAGTTTAAGTTGAGCTCATAAGTTGACCTCAGACAACAATATAATACAATTTAAAAAGCCAAGTCTGTTATAATGCTCACCAAGGATGGATTTATTTGATCAAAAATAGAGTAAAAACAGTAATTTTGTGAAATATTAATACAATTTAAATGATATTTTTTTAAAATGTAATTTATTACTGTGATCACTCAAGCATCATCACTCAAGTCTTCAGTGTGATCCTTCAGAGATCATGTTAATTTTCTTATTATTTTCAAAAACTTCTGATTTGGTGCTCAAGAAACATTTCTTATAGTCAATTTTTGATATTTTGTTTTCAGGATTCTTAGATGTATTCGAAGTCCTAAAGAACAGCATTAATTGGAACAAGAAATATTTTGTAACATTGTAAATAACTTTACTGCCACTCAACCAGTTTAATTATAAAAACTCACTTATAACCCAACGAATAACCCAACTATGGGGTGGTATAGCACCTTCCCAACTGTGGGTTATGCATTAGGTTAAACTCTAGTTGGGTTAAATAACCCAACAGCTGAGTTAAATATTTAAATATGCTATTTAACCCAACAGTCAGGCAGGCTATTTCTAGAAATTACCCAATGTTTTAAAAAAATTACCCAATATTTTTTGAAATATTGACCCAATATGTGTAACCCAACAGTTTGGTAAAATAAATAACCCAATGTTTTTTTTCTGTGAAGTTATTATTTCTTTAAAAAAGAAATACACTCTAAAAAAAACGCTGGGACATTTCAACCCAAAGTTGGGTCAAATATGGACAAACCCAAATGTTGGGTTAAAAATGTAATTAAAAATGTACAGTTGAAAGTGAAAGTTGAAGTTGGGCTAAAATTTTAAAATACATTTTTAACCCAACATTTGGGTTTGTCCATATTGTACCCAATTTTGGGTTAAAACAACCCATCATTATACATTTATTTTGTAGGTTTTTTTAAAATATTTATATGTATATAACATTATTGATATAACATTTATAATATTTAAAATTTTATAAACCTAATCTGTAGCAGATAAAGGACCTACATTAAATTATAAATGTTCAAAAATTTAAATCATCATGATGCATGGGCTTCCATGCCATAGACTGTAAAAAATAGGTCCATGCACATTTTACGTTGTTGAGCCTTTAGCTTTAAATTAGCTTAAAGCTTTGGAAGCTGGAGTTTCAAAGTAGCATCTACTGAACTCTATTAGACCTGCATCTGTTCCTAAAGATGAAACTTTGAACCTCAACATGAGAGGCCTCTGCTTCAGGGTTTGACATTAGTCCTGCCAGTGGTCCTTTTGTCAACAATGCTCTATTAGAACAAGCGCAAACACATCTTCCTCTGTGTGTAGGAAATCCGTGAGTTGCAAGCCCAGATGCAAGAGACCCAAGTCCAGATTCAGATGGACATGTCCAAACCAGACCTGACTGCTGCCCTGAGGGACATCCGTGCTCAGTATGAGGGAATCGCTGCTAAGAACATCGCAGAAGCCGAGGACTGGTACAAGTCAAAGGTGAGACAGAAGAAATTAAGAGACAAGTGAAAGGATAACCTGCTGATCTTTGACATTTTTTTTTCACCATCAGGTGTCAGACCTTAACCAGGCAGTGAGCAAGAACAACGAGGCTCTCAAACAATCCAAACTGGAGAGCATGGAGTTCAGACACCAGATCCAGTCATACACCTGTGAGATCGATTCCCTCAAGGGCACTGTATGTTTGTCTGTTCTATCTGATGTGGATTGCTCTGTCCTTTTGACTTTCTTCGTGTGTCATTCATCTTTTTCTCTCTCACTCCGCAGAACGAGTCTCTCATGAGGCAGATGAGAGACATGGAGGATCGCCACGGTCGTGAGGCCAGCTCTTTCCAGGACAACATCGCCAGGCTGGAGGCGGAGATCTCTAACTTGAAGGATGAGATGGCACGTCACCTGAGAGAATATCAGGACTTGCTCAACATTAAGATGGCCCTGGATGTGGAGATCGCCACCTATAGGAAGCTGCTTGAAGGAGAGGAGAGCAGGTACAAAGGACAGGAAATCAAACAGACGTGTTCTTGTTGTTTTTAACATACTCCATCATTTCTGCTTATTCTGATGGATTTTGTCTTCCTCTCCCACGGTAAAGGATTGTGATGCCCATGCAGGCGTATTCCACTATAAGCTTTAGAGGTAAGATGAAAACCTTGTTGTAGTTTAAATAGATGTTTATGTGCGTTTCATCAGAGGCCACAGGGTGGCGTTGTACCTGACTTAATGCAATTTGTGATGTCTTGTTTATGATTTTTTTTTTAAGATATTCAGTCAAATTTAACCCCAATACCGTATTCTGGACAAATGTGGGCAAAATAGTTTTGATTTATTTTTTAAAAAATACTTCCCTTGATCTGAGCGGTACAAGACTTGGCTACTTTTGCTAAGTTTGCCTCCTGAACACACACAATTTTTTTCACTCAATTTTACAATGTTATGTGGGCTTAATCTTGTATTTGGGTCAAAAATGGGCACCCATAGAAATGAATGGGAAAAACTGTAATTTAGAGCATTCTAAAATAAGCCAAAATAAGACACCAGGTGACAACAAAGTCACTTCATCTTTAGGTTTTAGCTTTAAGGACTTATAAAAATAATAATAATAATAAAAACTATATAGTAATTCATTTACATAGAAATAATTTACATAGAAAATATGATACTTTTTGAAGTAAATAAATTCAAAAATACCCACAAAATAAAAAACACACCATAAATGGATAGACAAAACTTTATCGAAGACAGTGATATAACATTTATAATAAATAAAAATTAGGATCACACCTGAGTCCTCTGTGCCCACATTTGTCCACAATTAAAGGATTAAGGGCTATAAAGTGAATACGGTTTGAGGGCTACACAGAATGTGAGCGTTAGATATATTTGAAGAGTTCAGATGCAAAAGCCTCTAAATGCCATTTGAAATTTTCTTCTAGAATGGTCATTTTTATCAAGCTTGTATATTTAAGTTCAGTAATTTCACTTAAATGGCAATGAAGATTACCTATTAATTGTCATTTAAGTGAAATTACTGAACTTAAATATACAAGCTTGATAAAAATGATCATTTTAGAAGAAAATTTCAAATGGCACTTAGAGGCTTTTGCATCTGAACTCTTCATTTACTAGCCTATAATTTAATTTTTACTTATTTTTTTTTTCATTTGGTATTTCAAATAAATGCTGTTCTTATGATTTTTATATTCATCAAAGAATCATGAAAAAGAATATCCCAGTTTCCACTTCTAGTAGTAAAATATTTTAAATAATGATAAGAAGAATGTTGGTAATTTTACATAAAGGTTCCATTTGTTAACATGAAATAACAATGAAAACTGATTCTAAAGCACTAATCTCAGTCAATGTTAATTTACGAAAGCATTATTAAAATCAAATGCTGTATCTGTTAATACTATTTAATGGACCAGAGCTATCATGAACTGACAGTTGTAGGCTATTTTTATTACCTAACGTTAACAAAGATGACTAAATACTGTAACAAATGTAGGCCTACAGTTAATGTGCTCATTAACTAATGTTAACTAAAATGACCACCTTATTGTGAAGTGATACTGGAATATTTATTGAGCAGGAAATCATATTAATGGTTTCTGAAGAATCATTATCAATAATTTAAACTTATTTTAAATTATAATAACATTTAACAATAGGCTATTATTTTTCCTGTATTTTTGATCAAATAAATTAATCATCGGTGAGCATGAGACTTTTTGAAACATTTTAGCCTACTAACCCAAAACTTTTTAATGGTATGTGTTTATTAATATTATTTTCAACAGAGACGAGTCCAGAGCATCATCAGAGAGCATCTGAAATGCACTCAAAGAAAACGGTCCTGATCAAGACCATTGAGACGCGTGACGGGGAGGTGTGATGCATGCGCGCGCACATTTCAGTTCATTCTCCCTCATAACGTCACATGCAAAACAGTTTCACCTTGGATGCAGTAAAATTGTGTTTGTGTTAAAAATAGTCTAATATTTGGTTAAAGTACTTTAATATTGTAAATCATAAAATGAAATAACATTCATGCAGAAGCCTGCTGACAGGAAGAGGTGTATTTGAATTTAAAAGAGTCTACTGCCCCCTACAGGTGGTGAGTGAATCTACACAGCACCAGCAGGACACCATGTAAACCTCGGAAGAGAAGACGAAAATAAAACCTTTAGGAGAGTAAATCATTCTGTACCCCCCCCCCCCCCCCCCCCCCCCCCCCCCCCCCGAATGAGAGAAATATTAAAAGAGGTGTGAGTGGAGCAAATGGAGAGAGGTGGAAGACAGACTAAGCCAGCAAAATGGAGAAGATTTGTGATGGTACCAAGCATTAAAAAAAAAAAATAAACTAAAGATACCTAAACCAACACATTGTATTACGTACTCTTTCTGTTTGTGTGTCTGTTCACCTATACGTAATATAAGAAAGCACTTAGACAAATAAATCATAGACCACAAGAGACAGTGAATTCACAAACTTTACTATAACCAGGCCCATACAAACACATGCTTTTGTACAGTGTTAAAAAAAAGTTGATGTCAGATTGTCAAAGGTTTCATTGCATGTATATTTTTAGTCTTTAAGACTACGCTCCGTTACCAGAAAGTAAGTAATAAAGAAAACATGACAAACAAATTAAACAAACTAATAAATACCACCATCCATTCACCTGTCGGGACTCAAAATCCCAAGAAAAACAATTAATTAGAATTAAACCAATATCTAATAAATATGAGAGGCCATGTTGAAATGGATATACTAAATGTGCATTATGTACATAACAGACGTTTCTACTTTGCAGAATTTAAGAGAGAGAGAGACACCATGGCAGAAACTGCTCATTTCAATAATGTTAATGTAGATGAACATGAAAATGCATTGTAAAATGAAAATTGGGGTGTTTATGTCATGCAGTTTGCCCCAAGGGATTGCGGGGGGTCTTTTAAGAAGGATGTTGTCCTCTTGGACACCATAAATGTTCACTTGTATGGCACTGCAAACTAGTTTTATACACAGCAGTAACTGAACAGTCATGGTGACATCCCTTTTGCACTTGCCTCAGAGGGGACAATATCATCATTTTTGCATCATCATTCTGTGTCCTTGTCATTTGCAGTTCTCCTCCCAATACTCCATAACATTCACGCCGTCCCTGAGTAACATCTTCACTTTTTTTCCCACCATCGTTCGTTCGTTTTATCACCAGGTGTTCAGCTCTGCATCCCAGAGTGGACCAGGTGGCTCTGATCAGCAGTAATATGGCTCTTTGCCCCACAGCCTTTCTGAAACAAGGCTAAGGAGTTGCATTCTCCTGAGAGAGTTTCTCACTGGTGTCTCGAAGGCACCCCTGCTCAACAGTATTTGGTTCAGTCCTGGGCGGGAATGCGGGATCTCACAGTACAGACACTGACTGGTGGAGTCCACTATGAGAGGAAGGGTGGCTGACTTTGACAGTCAGCGTTATTGTACAAAGACAAGATTCAGCACCAATTGATGAATTTGTCACAAACAGACGAGGACGCAATACTGTGAAACACTGATGAACGGGCAACACGCTAAATTCACCACACTGACGTTTTTAGAAAATGAATGAAGCCCAGGTTGATTTTTTTTTTTTTTGACCACCTCATAATGGTTTCAATATTAGGTGAACAGAATGCCACATCTCAGGCACATGTTCAGGGAAAGTGTATTAGTGTAATTATGTGTGTGAAAGCAGCTCTTTAATAAAATCATGGTCTCGGAAGGATGAGTCCAGTATTATAGTTAGAAGTGCTTTAATTGTTCGGTTCTGAATGGTGAGGAGACCCAAGCCTCTGTGCGTGCGAGACCAAGGGTCAGGTCAGCACCAGAATTGTGTGTGTGTTTGTGTACGTGTTTTTTTGTGAATTAGTGAGTGTGGTCAGACCCGAACATGTGGTCCAACCCCAGAAGTGAGGGGGACGGTAGAGCCACAGTCATAGTCCATATCCACACTTGTGTGACCTAAAGCCATCAGCCCGCCCACTGGATAAGCTCGTCCATCAACCTGTCTGTCCCGGAAACTCTGGATGTAGCTCTGCCAGAGACAAAAACACATTAATAGGTCTATATATCATAGGTATAGATTCAAAATATTATATCAATTTTCAGTGAACATTAAACAGAAGGGTGGCTAATTTCACTTATGATTTCACTTTTTCTGATAATTTACTCACCCCCATGTCATCCAAGATGTCCATGTCATTCTTTCTTCAGTCAAAAATGAAGGTTTTTGATGAAAACATTCCAGCATTTTTCTCCATATAATGGACTTCAATGGGAACCAAACGGTTCAAGGTCAAAAAGACACTTTCAGCACAAACTGCAAACTGTTCAAAGGGCTTTAAACGATTCCAGATGATGAATAAGGGTCTTATCAAGCAAAACGATCGGTCATTTAATAAATAAATAATAAAGTTTAAGTTTTATAAGCTTAAATGGTCGCCTTGCTCTGTTCTGTGACGCATGTTTGTGACTCTCCTGTTCGAAATCTTTCATCAAAATGAACAAATCTTTTTCCGAGTCATTTGGTTCATTCAACGAACGAAACGAATGAATTGACTCGGAAAATGATTTGTTCATTTTCAGTCACGAACGAATGTTTTCATCAAAAACCTTAATTTCTTTTCGACTGAAGAAAAAAAGACATGGTCATCTTGGATGACATGGGGGTGAGTAAATTATCAGCAAAAGTTTTTTGAAAAGTGAACTACTCCTGTAACATTTTGAAGCTTAGGGGGAACAGACTTTCAATGGAGGGACAGGATATCTCTCAAATTTGAGTTAAAACATCTTAATTTGTGTTACAAAGATGAATTAAAGTCTTATGGATTGGAACAACATGAGGTTGAGTAACTGATGACTTCCTTTTATGTTTGGGTGAACTTATTTCAAAATGTATAATATTACTATTTCCATGAAGATGTGTCAAGCTTGTCACGCGACACTGTGGCCACAATATAGTGATACACTGATATATCAGTTTTATTTATTTATTTTTTTTAATTTAAAATATTCACAAACTTTTAAACCAAATTGTGATCTGATTTTCTCAAATAAAGTATTCTGTCTTTCACACACATTTAAAGGGATACTCCACTTTTTTTGGAAATAGGCTCATTTTACCACTCCCCCAGAGTCAAACAGTTGGGTTTTACCGTTTTTTAATGTATTCAGCCAATTTTTTTTGATATTTAGAAGAATATCAGTAACCAGACAGTTTCTGGTCTCATTGACTTCCATAGTATATTTTTTTCCTACTATGGAAGTCAATGAGACCATAAACTGTCTGGTTACTGATATTCTTCTAAATATCAGAAAATCGGCTGAATGGATTTGAAAACGGTAAAACTCGACTGTTTAACTCTGGGGGAGTTGTAAAATGAGCCTATTTCCCAAAAAAGTGGAGTATCCCTTTAAGGTCATGCTATATGACCAGTGCCTTCATGTTAGTTTATTCTGCAGTGCACAGAATCAGAGTCTGTCAGATTTACAACAGATAAATGTATTCACTTCTCCTGAATTCATGAAAGTAAGTAGCCAGAGAACTGGGAGAGCAATTAAATAAATATTATAGTTACCTCCCCAATGTGTTTTTAACATAAAATTATGTTTGAAAGGGGTTCAATTATTTCCCATAGATTTTCTGCTTCCATAGACATCAAGATTTATTTTACAAACTATAAACGTTTGTGCTAGTACTTATGTGTATTTAAATGTCTGAAACCTAAAATAAACAAGAAAACACTGAACAGTTGTGATGTACGATAAATCTCTCTCTGGCTTAGCGCCAATCAAAGCACAAAGCAGATTTGAATTTAGTTGATCACATGATGCACTAAGAGTTTTAAATACACTGGTGTGATTGTGTGCATCAAAGGGTTAAAAAAAAATCTCCATCCAGATAATTAGCGAAATTAACAAAGCTAAAACTAATTCCCCAAAGAATTCATTAACGAGCATTATGACATTTTTTGACCCCAAGCCCCATTAATTCCGAACCCTGCCCTGTATAATTTGCTCAAGTATGCATGTATAGGACGGTGTGTGTGTGGACTCACAGGAGAAAGTACATCTCCATCAAAGCGTCGTATAGGGTTGGGTTTCCTGCGGTAGGCAGGCTCTGGGTGCAGGGCTTTGGCGGCATGTGTGTGGCTTGAGTCCTGCTTCTGCTTCTTTTTTTTCTTCCTGCTGCTTTCCCTCCTCTCCTCCTTCTGACGAATACGCATGAGCTGAACTCGTCGCTGCTGACGACTGATCATCACTGAAAAAGAGAGAAAAAGTGTGTTACATAACAGTAGCATACATTTTGTATTTGGCTCAGTTCACTCAAAATTTTTAACTATTTCTACTAACTAATGATTTCTAAACTAATTGTTTCTATACAACTAAAGTGAATGGGAATGAACATTGTCAAGCAAATGGAGCACCACAAAAGTACCATAAATGTACTATTACAGCACACATGTGGTGTGTCATGTGACTTATTATTCCCAATCCATACAATAACTTCATGCGATGAACACAGACTATATGTATTAGGGGTGTACTATAACGGCTCCAACAGAAAGCCGTTTTCTCCACATTTTTCCTTTAATTTAATCATCCATTCTTTTCTAGTTATGCACACTCTTTAAAATCCTATATATGTTTGCATGATCACATAAGTCACATTATCTGGCACAAACCCAGGTGTAAAACTGGTTTCTCTTAAAGCAGAACTCTGGCGAACAATGAACCTTTGGTCTAATAAAACATCGGTACCTAGTCAATCGTTCTCTGAGATTTGTTTTCATGATAATCGAATGTAAAGAGTTTTATCTTAGCGTATAATGCTAGCAATGGGGGCATTGACTAAGTAAAAAGAAATCGCCAGTTTATACCACTAACAAGGCTCAAAATAGCCCTACACTAACGCAGTAACATAATGAGGGTCCGTACATGCAAAACGAAGCATTGAGAACTTTGTAAGTGTACAGACCGTTTAATAAGAAAATACTTAATGAAGACTTTTCACTTCGCGTATACAGACAGGAGCCATCTTAGAAAATAGTCTCGATAAGTCGATCCCCGAACACCGTTCACACAGTTCGAAGTTCGCTGAACTTCATACAGTTCAGATCACTCAGCACGACGTTCGTGGTTTGACTTATCGAGACTATTTTCTAAGATGGCTCCTGTCTGTATACGCGAAGTGAACTGTCTT